GTTTATCGCGAAACTTGCTCAAGTTGAGGTCTGGCTTTGTTTCTTTTTCAGTCTGTTTTCGGAGGGCGCCTGTAAGCTTATCGTGATGCCTTCGATTGAGTTTGCTGTATTATGGTGATGGGAGCACGTTAGACCTTCTCGCAAGTTCACTAGCTTCTTTCTCTTCAGTGCAGTTCCGCACAATTTTGACCATTTTTTGAATTTTAAGACCGCGTCGAATCCTTTATGTTGTAAGGGAACCTATTGCAGGACTTTGACAGATTAACTATAGATCGTGTGCTACTGTCGGTACTACTGCCTCGCCTCCCGTAGTCATGTGCTCCATGTCGATGACGTTTTGGAACGTTTTGTCTTGTAGCTGGATCGTAAAATCTCCATTTCCTTAGCGTCAGTTGTCCAGACTTATGTCCCCGACATTTATCTCGCCACTACTGGCTGATGTTCATTTAATCCTGTCTGAATTTACGGCTGACCCTTAATGTTATTTCGTCCAGGTTGCCACCGAAACTGACAGCCAACACCAGCTTTTTCTCCAGTAAAGTAATTATCGCTCTAACTCCCCGACATCTGTTGGGAATTTTAGTACGTTTTTAAGCGAAAAGGGTTGCAAAATAGTTATCGTACAACATAAGCCCGGGTCGGTTTGCATACGTTAGCGCCTTGATTATTGACAGTCTTTTATGCAGCAATTTTAATCAGTTGTTAGCCGATTGCTACCTAGGTATTCTGCATTTTCAGCATTTGCTTTGCACGGACAATTTCGTGAATCTTACGAAAGGAGTCCAAGCAATCTTGCTAGTTTTGCACGATTATGTGCACAGTCTGCTGTCTTCAGAATTAATGATGCCATCAAAAGTTGTGTCGAGTCCGCTCAAAGAAGAACAAACCTTGGAAGCACGTTGTCCAAAGTGCTTTAGGAGGAAGGATGTTGTATTGCCATGCATATTGCCGATAAATTTCTTTGCTGGTAGAATAAATCAGTTAGAACTTAAAGCCGCTTTCCTAACAGGTTTGAACAAAAAAAATTGTTACAACCACTTTAAGAGAACGAGTATGCACGGAGAATGGCTCGCCTTCTCGTGTGTAATTTTTCATTTAAACGTTTCCGTCGATGCTTCCCGAATTTTGATGCACAGATTACGAGCGACCATCTTGTCGCACAGCGTTCGACAATATATGTCAACGCTCGTATAGTCTAGGCATGTTGTGGTCTAAAATCCCTGCAGG